AAGAAGAAGAAGAAGAAGAAGAAGAAGAAGAAGAAGAAGAAGAAGAACTTTCTATAGCAAGGGTCAAAATAATTGTAGTCAAGATAGAGCTTAACTATGGGAAACCTCCAAAGGAGAGGACTGAGAGGTTCTGCTTCTATAACACATTGATTTCCCCCCTAATATGTCCAAAGTTATTCAGTTTGCTAAATGTCATGACAAAACAACAACAACAACACAGGTGTTGGAAGTACTATTAAAATTACTTCGATATGAAGAATTTCAATGGCAGCATGAAATACCTTGGTGTAAGAGATTTTGAACATTGGAGTAATGATCAAACCTATTAAATAGAAGTAGCAAATAGAATATCTTTATAAATCACAGTTAAATTGAGAAGCAATGCAATTAGAAATGCAAAGATATAAGAAAACTTCATTTCTGCAGAGTGAACGAAAACAGACAAAAGCATTTCTCTGGGTTTTGAGTTTCCTTAAAAAAAAGTCTTTTGCATTAGGGCATGCTGTAAGTTGGCCTAAGTCTTAGGCTCAGAGTACACATGAACTGAGCAATGATGGCTATATATTATAAGGCCAATGACAGGTACATCCTTAACAACACCTTCTGAGCCTCTTCCTATTTTGTCACGATAGGCATTCCCTTGTCAGAAGTGACACTGGCTGTTACCATTCATGAGGCCCTGACAAATAGATTAAGCTTCAGACTGTATATAAATTTATTGGATATTGGAAGAGACAAAATGTACAAATACAAAAAAAAGTAGACTCAAAGGACACTGGAGATTGAAGGGATCTTAAAGTTAATTTAAGCCAACAGATGAGAAACTTCAGGATTAGAAAAGATAAATGACTTTCTTACAGCTAATTAGCAACAGTGTGGGGAGGAGCGAAGAGACTGGAAGCTTAGTTCTCCTGACTTTCAGTCAAGTGCTTTTATTACTCTTCCAGGTTATCTCAAAATTAATAGAAAACAACAGGAAACAAAAAAAATTCATGGCTATAGTAATTCAACTTAATGCACATAATATGGATGAGGACTGGATTTGTGATTTCACTGGTAAAAGGAACTCTAAAGTGGTGAAACTCCCTGTGTCAATGCAGATCATTGCCACATAGTGTTTTAGAGAGTTGACTAGAAAACCAAGAAGCCAGACAACCTGCCTAGAATCACACAGTCATTATATATCAGAGGCAACACTTGAACCCAGCACATCTCAGCTTCAAGACCAGCTCATTAGCCACTATTCCATACTGTCTCTCAATGCTCAGAATATAAAGCTATATCCATAAGGAAAAAAAAAATACCTTGGGAGAAAAAAAAACCTGTTATGACAAAAAAAAGTAAAGAGATTCACAAAGAGATAATTCTGCCAGCTGTCAAGAATTACATCCTTTGTCTGACACTGGGAAAGTAAAATCTCCCACAGTTCGTAGACTTAAACACTGAGGGTTTAAGCATTCCTTGAAACAGAAGTACACTAACCTAGCTGACATTTCAGAAAAACAAAAGCATGTTAATGTTGGAGAATTCAGTAGATAGTATCCTGTTTGAAAATGGAAGTGAGTTATGCAATGGGAAAACTGGGCTAGAATTTCTCTTTGACATGTTGATATTAAAAATGAGATTGGTATAGTACATGAAAACAGATCTACATGAGTGGATATTTCATGGCTATTCAATTCTCTGGCTTTGTTGACATTTCATGGGTATCCGATTTTGGTAATATTACCAATAAATCTGCTTAGATTTTCTTGTTCTGGGAGACATTCTGTTAAGTTAAACAGTCCACATTTGTGTAACTCAGGGAAATATAAAGACACAATAAAATCTAACTTGGTGGTAAGTAATGTACTCTGCTCTATTGCAATGAAAATAGTACAACAAATCTCTCAAGATCTCAGTTGTCAATCATGATTGTCATGGTGGTGGTGATGATGGTATTACATTTCTATACAGCACCTTACAAATTACAAACCACTTTTATTACAACAACTCTTTACGGTAAGTAGCGCAAAATTTTCTTATCCTTAATTTACAGATGAAGAAACTGAGACTAATAGAGGTCGTCACTTTTTTCATAGTCACCCAAGTAGTAATCAAATTCAAGTCTTCTGAGTATAACCAGAATTGTTTTTAATTATACCACAATATGACTATGGTATGCAATTATAATGACATATTTCACCTTCCCTGGTACACTATCTGAAACTTCTCATGTTTCCTTTCCAAAAGCAGGGCTCAATTCTGCAAGTGTCCTTCCCAAAATTAAAGAACTAGCAAACTGGACAAGATCCCTATTTTTTCTTTCTCCAGTGAAGAGAAGGTAACTTAGTAGTTATAGAGACACCAGATAGAGGAAAAAAATTCCATCATATAGCTATGCATTATACATAGTAGACACTTAATAAAAGTATTTTTGTGTTGAACTGAATAAAATTAATGGTTTCCTGAAAAGGATTCTTAAGTTTCCTGAGGGCAAGAATTAAATCATATATGCCTTTATATTCTCAGTGCTCATATACGATATTAAATAATTATCTACCCTATTGAAAAAGAGAATGTCATTTCCAATAGCAGATAAACCAACTAAGGTGTAAAAAGTATCAGACAGAATAAAGGTCCCACTATTTACTACCGATATAACAGCCATATAACCTTTAGGCCACTTAACATTTCAGTGCTTCAGTTTTTTCATCTGTAAACTGATTGGTTTTAACTAAATGATTTCTCCGATGCCTTTCAAATCAAGCCTTAAGCAAATGCTTAACCCTTCTGCCCAGACCTGGGAAAGGAGTGTTTAAGGAACAGCAAGGAGGCAGGGGTCATTGGATCACACAGTAGGTGGAGGGAAGTAAGATGTAACAAGATTAGAAATTTAGGAAGAGACCAGGTTATAAAGGGCTTTAAAAATCAGAGGATTTTCTATTTAGCCCTAGAAGGAATAGGGAGCCAGTGAAGTTTATTGAATAGAGGAGAAACATGCTCAGGCCTGTGGTTTAGGAAGATCAATTTGATAGCTGAGTGGAAAATAAATTGTAGTGGAAAGAAATGAGGTTGGAAGACCAAATAGCAAGCTGTTGCAATAATCCAGGCATGAGATGAGAGTCTGCACCAAGATGGTTGTAGTGTCAGAGGAGAGAAAGGAGTGGATAGGAAGTAATGTTATGAAGGCAGAAAAGATAGGACTTGACAATTGGTTGGATATGGGGGGTGGTGGTGATAGAGAGATGTTGAGGATGACACAAAGTTTTCCACTTAATTATATCCTATCTTGCTTCGCTGGTATTTCATAGATGTTAATTTTGTTTCCTAATTACATTATGAATTCTTTGAGAACAGAAGTCATGTCTTAATAATAATGATGAAGATGATAAATAATAGTAGCAAGCCTTTTTAGAACTTTTTAAGCTTTGCAAAGCTCTTTCGAATATGTATATACATGTGTGTATAATCTGATAATTGTGGTTCTTTGTGGCTAGCACCATGCTGGACATAGAAGGTGCTTAAGTAGTATTTGTTGAATGAATGTTTACTTAGCTGCTACCCTCTTGGGTGGAATGTACTAGGAAATATTAGTGCTCTCCTTCAAGTTGACGTTATTGTTACCTCACTTGATGAAATGGTTTACTTCCCATTACGAAAAACAAAACATGCACATACGCACACAAACACATAGATACTGTAACTGTTACACTTCTTTCTTAGAAAACTTTTTATGTCTGGTATGTAAGAGCAAGATCTTAGAGAGATAAAAATATAACATTTAAAGTGATAGTATTTTCTGAGATTTACAAAATTCGGTGAAATATAAGTCAGTCATTATTTGGCCAAACTAGTTCTATTTTTTACACTGATCCACGATTCAAAGTCCATATGATTTCACCCAGGTTTGACAAATTAAAATATCTTTTTCTATTTATTTGCTATACTGAAAAGGACATTCAATATAGAGCCAGAGGACTTAGATTCATGGCTTTGCCATCTATCACCTAGCAACCTCAGACAAGTACTTTAATTTACCTAGGCCTCAGTTCACTAAACTAGAAAACAAGTTAGAGATGACCTCTAAGGTCCCTTCTAATTCAAAATACATGAGTCCATGATACTTGCTTAAAGACAAAAAATTGTCACATGTCAGCTGGCTGAATTTAATCTGTGAATAGGTTCCCTACCTTTATCACATGATGCTTTTCCTGGAACACAGGTATCTTAAACATTTGGCACCAATATGTCGTGCCTTTATTTGGAATCGGCACCTGTCTTAATAGAAGGGAAAGGAAATATGAAAGTCAGACAACTTTCCCGTGTAAACAAAAGCAATTGGTTTAGGAAATACACTCCATTCCATCAAAGCTTTTGTCTCAAAGTAATATGTAACCCCAAAGAGACTTACGTTTTTATTTCTCAAGTCAAAGTATGGTAAGGCTGTGGATAAAATGTTGTTTTTCTCTGGATTCAACAATTTCAGACTCTTGGTTCCCCGATTAGATCCATGGTATTTAGGTCCTGATTCACCAATATCTTCATGGTGATAGGCCCATATCACTCTCACTGTGCTTTCCTAAAAAAAGATCACTTTATGAAAATGAGTTTCAGACAAATCCTTTCCTTACAGCCTACAAAAACTTTGAATATCTTTATAAACTGATTATGAAATAAGCAGAACTGGGAAAATAATTTGCAAAATAGCAATAACATTATAAAGATAAAAAACTTGGAAAGCTATAGGAACTCTGATCAATGCAGTAACCAACTATGATTTCAGAGGTCCAATGATGAAGCACACTATCCACCTCCTGACAGGGAAGTGATGGATTCAAGGTGCAAAATGAAATGTGTATATATATATATATATATATATATATATACACACACACACACACATGTATATATACATATATATGTATATGTATACATGAATATATACATACGCACATATATTATATATATATTATATACATATATATGAACATGGCCAATGAGAGAATTTGTTTTATTTGGCTATGCACTTTTTTTCATGGAATTTCTTTTTCTTTTCTTTTTTGAATGAGGTAGAGGTGGGATAGAAAGAAAACACATTTCTGTTCTTTAAAAAATAAAAGACTTGTTTTAATAAAAGCCTTTGTCTTAGAGAATTGCATATGACAGTGAACAGTCAAGTAACTTGTCCAGGGTCATATTGACGGTATGTATTAAAGGTGGAAATTGAACTTCCTGACTCACAGACCAGCTTTCTGTTCACTGCTTCTTGGAAGATGATGCAACTAATCCCAAAATAGAGTGCTAGAGCAATTAGCCCATGTCATTGGTTTGATGAAAAAGACAATACTAGATAATTTTGGCATAACTATCACAATGCATACAAATATTCAAGTTGAGAAGTACACAGATCACATTTTTGCCCAATATCATGTGTAACTGATCATTTTGGGGAGAAAAACATCCAAATCACTTTTAATTTCAGGACTTCTCTCTGTTCTCACAATAAAAAGATCATGCAGTTAGTATACCACCCATCATTGAAGTTCCAGATAAGTTTCTAAATGGACGAAGTACTCATTGACCGAACACAAATGGAGCCATAAATGAGATATTGATTTGTTGGTGTATGTGTATAATCAGAGACAGCTAGATGGATAGAGTGCTAGGCTTAGAGTCAGGAAGACTCATCTGGTCTCTGACACTTACAGCTGTGTGAGCCTGTGCAAGTCACTTAACCCTGTTTGCCCCAGTTTCCTCATCTATAAAATAAGCTAGAGAAGGAAATGGAAAGCCAGTCCAGTATCTTTTCAAAGAAAACCCCAAATGGAGACATGAAGAATAGGGCATACTGAAAATGACTAGACAACAATAATAAATATGTATAATCATTTTTGTAATACAGGAAATTCTATCAGTTTGAACATTTGTGACTTGAGACAGCCCAGGAAGGTCAAATAAGTTTCCTGTTTTGAACCAGCAAGACTGGCCAAAGGAAAAAAGCAAGTGCTCAGACCACCCACACACAGTTATATTACTACTGACAGCTGCTTTGTCATAACAGCTTTGAAAGGAAATACAAAAATAAAGCTTTTTTTCCTTTAAAATATTAACTGTATTCCTTCCCTAACAAATAGAATTATTGTGACTATTATTTCAGTATTAGACCATGATTACACTCTGTAGTTCATGAAAGCAATCTTGACCACGCACGTATTTTTTGTTCTATTTTGATCTCTTCTTAATTACGTCTGTAATCAGAATCATTTCAAAACATAATTATCATTTTAATATTTTAATTTACTAAATGAAAGAAAGAAATATTTTGTTCTTAAATATAGACGTTAGAGGTTCATCACCAGAGTAGCCTCAGGTTGATGAATACGGGGGTACCTAAGCAACTCATAAAAATGTGTAGATGGATTGTTATCAGTGTTGGTAGAGGGAATACCTAAACCAATGAAATCAACAATCTTTAAAAAAATATATAGGGATAGAATTAATTCCAATATAATGTGGTGTTTTCTAAGGTATCACATAGTCCATCTTCTAAGTCAAAGTTTCTTAAACTTTGGACTGTGACTTTGTTTTTTGTCTGATATTCTGATAACTGTATTTCAATACCCTCACAAAAAATTTAAGAATCTAAGAATCTCAATTGCACATCTTTAGAGGGTTTAAATTATCTCATTCATTTTAATGATATGGAACCCAATTAAAAAAAGATTAGTATCTCTTTATCATAAGACTAAGGGAAAAAGTAGTTATAAATCAATTTAACTATGAATTTGAACTATGAATTTAACTACCCATATTTAATAATTTGATAATTACATATTTCCTTACAGAAATTCTATTTCTATGCATGCAGGTCATTATTTATTCTTGAAGGATATGCTGGAATAAATTGAACTATTGCAGGTCTTATCAAGCTAAGAAAATTTCCACTAATAACCTTTCAATGAATCATGTGTCCATGACCAGCCTAGCTAAATGTGGAGATTTATAACCAGAAATTTTTCTGCCAGGTGATAATGATGTTTTGTCCACAACAACTCATGAAGCCTTCTACTGAGACCTGGAGGGGTTTTGATTTATTTGATGAAATAAATATCAATGTAATAATCATAATAATAAATATATTAAGTATTAAATTATTTTACTTTACCAATTTCATTGCCTCAAAAACTTTGATTCTTTATCTATTCTTAAAGAATAGAAAGGTATAGTAAAATTTCAGCTTTCACAGACTGTATCATAACAGTTTTGAAGTACAATACATATTTTGATATTTTGTCTTAAGAAATGCCTTTACTGTAGCTGAAAGAATTTCAGGTGTTTCCCAGTTGATTTCTAAATTTGTATAAGGTTCTTTTATCCATTAAAAGAAAGCTGAAAACACACATGTTCCACAGAGAAAGTTGACTCATAGCTTTATAATTCTTTAGAAATTACATAGAGGAATAACTATTCTCTGAGATTTTATTATTTGAAATTGATTGTATAATTCACTTAAAAAATAAAAGGAAAGATAAAATTAGTTTTTTTGTTAATTTAACAAATAAATTTATTGCCACTATTTTTCTTAATTATTGCTTATGTCAGTCCTATTAACACTAGCAGCTGAAATGTATTAAATCAAGTGGAAATACCAAATTCCATAAGATATTCATTTTTTAAAAATATGAACTGAATGTGATTTTGTCTTCAAAATTCATATGTAGGGACTTGGTGCTTCCAGATATAACATAACATTCATTTCAATGATGCAAATATTTATAGATAAATTCAGATTTAAATCTTCTTACCGTTATGGTTTTATCATTTATGTCACAAGTATGTAGCTCCCTGGTAAATTCAATTATGGTGTGTGTACTATTTTGCATGGCATATTCTAGATGGTAATCCTGTTGGGGATCCTTCTTCAGTTCTCTATTTATATCTGTAAAATAATCCTGCAGAAAATACAGAAAAGGAAAAAAAAAATAAAATCTGATTGCTATGACCTGAGAAATGAACTGAACTCAAGAAAGTTTGCAGGATTTAATCTAACAATGGTTATTAGCAAAAATAAATAAATAAATAAATAAATCTTCGAATGAGCCTTCTCTTCTGGCTCCTTCCGGTCGTATGGTTAGAGAATGTGACTTTAGAGATCATCTTCGTGCAGAAAAGGAAACTGTCAAAAAGAAGTTTCAAGGTCAATTAACTACAATAGTATGTAGTAAAGCCAGTATTAATACCAAAATCTCATTTTTTTGGAACAGTCCTCTTTTCAGTGTACCACTAAGGAACAGAACTGTAAAGCAAACCATCTATGTAACACTCCCACGGAAGATACGACCCTGTGTAAAGACAGAGTCCTTGTCTCTGCGGGTTTACAACAACATACCCTATGATCCAGGGATCAAAGAACTAGCTGTTTCTTTGCACTCTGAGATTTGTTAATATGAGTTGTCACTGTACACAGTTGCTGGAATTATGCAAGTTGAGGGTAGAAATATCATGAGAAATAAGCCAGGACACGGGAACTACTATCTCAGAATACTAGATTTTAGAGTGTTTCATAGTAGTCTAATAGCAGCAACAATTCCAAGAACAACAAAAATCATCACAATAACTACCATTTATTTATACAGGTCTTTAAGGTTCACAAAGTATTTACCATACACAAAATGCTCAATTATTAAAATTACAGGCTTAACACTTCTGCCGAATATTCCTTTTTCCTGGTGCTTCGAATTAACAGTGCTAACAGATATAAAAGATCTAGAACCAGTGTTCATTGACCATTTTAGTGATTTATGGAATATAACAAAATCTATTAAATGTACTAATAATCTGGATTTGTGGCAAAAAATAACACTTTCACTTAGAAAAATTATATGTGTATGTGTGTGTAATTTGGATAGTAGAAAAGGGAGTTAAGTATTAAATGATGACAACTGCAATCATTTTTACCAACATGTAAATTGATTTTTAAGAAGCACGTCACTAAATAATCTTGGTGCTCTGCAAAATAGATGCAGATAAAAGGAAAAGACTTGAATCCCTCTATGGCAATCATGCTCAAATATCTAGCAATCATTCCTGAATTTTGAAACAAAATGGTCATATGATATTTTTATTTATTTTTCTCTTTTCTTCAATATACTTCTCAAGAAGACAATATTTTTATTTACTACTCTGTCCTCTTTAATATACTGCTTCTGAAATTTATAATATCTGTATTTGATACTTTCATAGGATGACTTTGAGTTCCACATCTGGTTCAGATTATAGAGTATTATAATTTAAATGGATATTAGAACCCTTTTTGCCTAACCCTTTTTATTTTATAGGTGAGGAAAGTAAAATCCTATGAGATTTCTTGACTTGCTTACATTCACACAGGCATTAAGTTGTGAAGCTAGCCTTCGGACATGTATGATAGGGTTATAGATTAGAGCTAGAAGTAACCATAAAAACCATCTAGCCCAGGAGTGGGGAACCTGTGGCCTCGAGGCCACATGTGGCCCTCTAGGTCCCTTTGACTGTCAAAGGGCTACACTTAAGGATCTAGAGGGCCACATGTAGCCTCAAGGTCACAGGTTCCCTATCCCTTGGCTAGCCTAACCACTTCATTCTATAGATAAGGAACTAAGGCTAAGAGAGAAGAGACCTGTTTAGGATTACACAGCAAAAGCAAGATTTGAACTCAGGTCTTCCTGACCCAGAGGCTTTGACCCAAAATTTAGTGATCATTACATTATACTACATTTCCTCTTTATTTTACTGAGAACTTAAATTGTTTATCCTAAGCAGAACCTATATAAAGCCTCAATCAACCGTACCTGTGGGCATGTTTAGAGATGTATGTGGAACAATCAGATTAAGACATCTCTGAGCCCCTGCCTTCTACTCATCAGATAGACAAAAGTTGACAAGAAGGAAAATGACAATTGTTTGAGGTGCTGCCAGTTAACAAACACGTTAATGTATTATTGATAGACTAGTGTCTTGGCCCTGACATTATGGAAAGCAATTTGGAAATTTACCCCCAAATTCACCTAATCATGAGTGTTATTTGACCCAATGATACCACTACTATTCTTCACATGCTTGGGGGGTAGTTAGTGCACCGTATACCCCAAGCATGTGAAGACTTCCTCCAATGTAATGTACAGATGAGAATAATTTGTTTCAACAGCCATGAAGGTGGCTGAAGCAGGTGCTGTGGAGTGCTAGAGCTTGGTGACATTGAAGATGCCAAGGTCATCCTCTGCATACTGAGACATTGCCAGCCATCTTGACTTTTGTCTTGCCGTTGGACTTCTGTGACTGGAAGAGAAAGTGAGGTGGATGACTTTGAGCAACTCTGCCTCACTTAAATCCAATTCACAAACAAGTCAAGATATTATCCATCACACTCTACTTTAACCCTATATCATGAGGTCATTAGTCTTCTTTCAAAATGGATGAACAACAACAACAACAACCACTAGGCATCTACTGCAAAGAACTCTAAGAGAGGAAGGAGCTATATGTATGAAATTATTTACAGCAGCAGTTTTTGTTATAGGAAAGCATTGAAGACAAAGTAGTTATCCATCAAATAGCTAAGAAAATTTTGGTATATGAGTAGAATAGAATATTACTATGCTATAAGAAATAACAAGTGGGATGGATTGAAAGAAATTTGGGAAGACTTGCATCATTTGATGCAGAATGAATTGAGCAGGACCAGAAGAGCAACTTCTATAATAACTACAACATGGTAAAGTCAGTCAGTTGGAAAAAATAAATTATTCCATGCCTACTATGTGTTAGTCATTGTGCTGGAAATAGAAATACAAAGTAAAAACAAAGAGAGATCCTGCCCTCGAGGAACCTATGATCTAATGAATGAAGACAACACATAAAAGGAAGCTGAAAAGCAGGAATTTGGGACATGGTACCTGACACCAGCGGATGACGGAAAGTTCTAGAGAAATCCAAAGCAGTATAGCCTGTAAGGAGAAAAAACTGTGCTGAGCTCCCTCTTTTAATACAGGCCTTGAAGCCCATGACCCTGCCATCCAGGCAATGGGTTCAGTCAGAGAGACAGAAGACACAGATGAAATGTGAGTATCAGGCAGATTCAATCTTACACAATGATGAGATTCCCCAGTGATGTTTTCCACTGAAAGAGGGAATGATAGAAAGGTCCAAAGATGTCCAAAAAGTATAGCATTTGCTTTTTCTGGCAGTGTAGCTAAAGAAAAACAGCTTAGAAAACCTTAGGAACTGTGCTCCATGCAATGACCAATTACTACTCCAGAGGACTGATGATGAGGTATGCTACTTACCACCTAGGAGAGAAGCAAGGGCCATGGAGAGCAGATTGAGATATATGTATTTGGGCATGAAAAATGTGTGTGTTTGTTTTGCTTAACCATGCCTATTTGTTATAATGGAAGATTTATTTAATGGGGGGGTAGGTTAGGAAGGATTTGGGAAGGAGAACTAGGAGTAGTGATAAGAAAAAAAGAAAAGAGGATCAGTTTAGCATTGTTAAGCACACAGAAAAGAAAAGAAGGAAGTTGGAAGAAGTCAGACAAGCAGGACGGCTTTGAAATAGCCAAGATAATTTTTATTATATTCTTTTTAAAAATGAAAGCTGTATATAATAAAGATGTGTGGTTTCACATATAATTGATTCTCTTTTACCATTCCATGGAAATATTCATGTTTATTTATTATTGATAAGTTCAGAATAACAAAAAATTGAAAAAATAAATGTATGAAACTGTTAAGACAAATTAAACAGCAATAAAATGTATGAATTGTTTGCCTCCTCCATACCTCCCCACAAAACTCACAAGGTTTTATTTGTTCTGTGGCTCAGTAAACAGTCGGAACAATAGTTCATGAGCCCCAGAAATGTGTTTACTTTACCAGATAATTGGACACATTAGTTCAGAGTCAAAAACATTTAATCAAACAGCAAATAAAGTGAAATAGATTCCCTTTAGTCATGCAAATATAGTGTATATTATACAACAGCTTAGCATGCCACCATTGAGAAGGATACATGTACAGAGAAAGTATATGGTCAGGTCACATATGTGGAAGGCACACATAGAGAGGGATGTGTGACCAAGGCAAACACATTATTACTAGGGCAACTTATACCTCCAAATATGAAGAGATTCACTGTCAACTAGTGATACCATTACATGCGCTTCACGGGGTACGTTGTTGATGCCAGGAAACATTCTCCACACTCTACAATTTTGTCTCTGTTTGATGTTTCCACTGGTCTCATGGACACCTGACTTCTCTCTACTACTATCTGCTAGACTTCAAGTGTCTATCCTCTTCAGGGCCATCGTCTGTTCTATTCAATCAGGGCACAGTAATTAGAAAATATTCTCACCAGCAGAAAGAAATATGGCATAGCCGAGGACTAAAAGTTATCACCCATGACCAAAAAGCCAAGAAATGCCAGCAGAATGTCCCAGGCTAAGATTAAATCTAACTTAACTAGTTTTCTTCTAACACCAACTTGAGATATTTGGTTCCAGGCAATTTTCTGACTTAGAAAATTTCTTTTAATTTATTTTTTAATTCCCACGTGTGAATATGTATCCACAAAAACCTGTTTCAAAGATTCTACTTCCCCCAAATTCACAAAAGCAAAATAGAGGCTCTAATAAGTAAAACCACTTCTATTCCAAAGTACTCCTTTATTAGAATGCAAATAAACCAGGAGAAAAAAAAAACTAATGGTAGCATGCAAGGCCTTCACCCTCCACCCTTGTTTCACATCCCTACATATCTGCCAGTGACAAAAAACCTATCATTCTATGTTAAATTCTGCCTGCTTATCACAAACTTCTTTGGTCTCTCTATATTATGTTAAAGTCCAAACATATAGTATTTGTTTTATTTAGCAATCAGTAAATAATAGATACATAGGCATATAAGTATGGATA